ATCTTTGAGACTTTGGATGCGGTATTCTTGTTCAATAATTAGGGTTATGGTCTTCGAATTTCTGGCATTTTCATTTTGTACCATCATTCATTTTGTAGATCTTTGATGTGGAAGCTGTGAGTAAACTATAGATTAATCACATGTTACTAACTTATAATATGAAAACTCCTGTCTGCAGTGGGTGGTACAAGGAGCAGTGGATGTTAACATTGGTGCGAACCCTTCTGCTGAAGGAGGTGATGAAGACAAGGGTGTTGATGATCAAGCAGTGAAGGTCGTCGACATTGTTGATACCTTTAGACTCCAGGTAAAAAGTATTCTGGTATCCTAATAAACTTTGAGAATTCCATTTATTTGACCATTTGAAAACACATGATGTGTAGGAGCAACCTCCTTTCGACAAGAAGCAGTTTGTTACTTACATCAAGAGGTACACCAAACAACTTACTCCCAAGCTTGATGCAGAGAAGCAAGAGTTCTTTAAGGAAAACATTGAGGCAGCAACCAAGTACCTCCTCTCAAAGCTCAGTGACCTTCAGTTGTAAGTCTCTTGTTCATCCGTTTCTTTGCATATGAATGGAAGCCTTTTTTGTTTGTCATTCTGTCGGCTGACCGTATTACATGAAAAAAGGCTAGATCTWTATTTGTGAATTGGGGRATTAGGATTAGGTTCTAATTATCATACTACTTGAGAAACAGAAAAGTAGAAAGTATTATTACAATAATCTTTCTGTAGTTACGAGTGCAGAGCAGTGATTGGAAGTGCTTACCCAAAGAAGGATCTTGTTAGACCTTGTTTTTTCTTTCTCCATCCACAAGATTCCTGACTTATTTAGGGCTCTTTTAAAGTAGATGAAAGTAGAACATATTTTCAACATTTATCTTGGCCAATGAAGTGCATGGTTAGGTTTGTACATATTTGCTCAGCCATCAAGTCTTTCAACTTGACATTCAATCAGCAATGTAAGTGTAAGTGACAATGACCACAATGACCAATGTTACTATTAGACTTGGTCTTCGCTTTTTTTATTAGACTTTTAGCTTGAAGGTGAAGAATGTGCACTTAGGTCCATTTTTTTAAGTATATAATATTCATATACAAGAAATGATCACTTACACTTTTTACCTTTGATGAGGTTAGAACTCCTACAATGACTGTCACTTGGTCAATTTTAATGGTAATGTTGACTGTTTCTTCCATATATTTGTACTGATTTTGTGGAAACATCGGTGGTTATGCAGTTTTGTTGGGGAGAGCATGCATGATGACAGTACAACAGTGTTCGCTTACTACAAAGATGGTGCTATTGACCCGACATTTTTGTACTTCGGTGTGGGGCTAAAGGAGGTTAAATGTTGAGAAATCAATGATATCCTTCTGTCAGAAAGAGCCAACAAATTAAGTGGTAGTATCAGCATCTTATTCAGTTTTCATATATGTCACCAGGAAAGATCTAGAATAATGTTGCGCTTTTCTGATTTGCTTGAGAAGCATGCTGATGAAATAACAGCTCTTGAAGTTTGGGATAATGGGAAGCCATATGATCAGGCAGCAGCAGATGAAATACCCCTGCTCATTCATCTTTTCCGGTATTATGCTGGTAAGTAGTGGTGGATGCAGAAATATTGGTCAAGGGGGAACTAAATTTAATTATATAAATTACCTCCAAATGATTATAACTTATAAGTAAAAAAATTGACTACTAAGTATATTAATGATTACAATGAACCCCAATGATCTCACTTATATACAAAATTTTAGCTTAATAAGATCACTACTTAGCCCGAAGTTCATTCTAAATGATA